ACGTGTGTGTGTGTATATAAGATTCGACTAGTGCAAATTAAATTGCAGACTTTTTTGTGTTCTGTCATTTTTATTCCAAAAAAACTTCACTCACTAAATAATTACTAGTAATGTTTACGTTGTCAATGATTTTTCAGCCAATTTTGTATGTGTTCAAAGTGACAGAGAATATATTAGAAGCACTCGTGTAAAGGTTTATTAATAAAAATAATAATTTCATGAACGGCAATGTATTTTTTTTACGGCAGCGACACACTTTGCTCTCTGAGATCAGCCTCTGTTCAAACTGCTGCTTTCAAAATATCTATCTACAACAGGTGAGATAGTGATTGTTCATAACCTTTTTAGAAAGGCCCCATTTCAACAGATCTCAACCATCCCTCTCAGGTTTCTGGWGACTGGGAGACTAAAAGTTTTTGCACACAGCTGGGTGAAGTTGTGCATTTCTTACAAAACTGGTTTTCTAACATGTTTTGTTAAATTGTAAAAAGAAAAAACGTATTATGTGTAAATGAGGCTTAAACCAAATGCACTCAATTATGAATTCAATGAATTCCAACTCGATGAGCATGAGTTTGACCGTGTCAGCAGAATAWATGATGATAGTTATATATTAGGAGSAGGTGGAGAAGGTCACTCGTTGATCCTTAAGAGTAAAACACTTAAAACATTCATGGAGCCTCATTTTATTCCAAAGTTTAAATACTAAGTTGCCAAATATAAGACTGTTTTTAAGACCTGTATAAATGCAAATCAAAAATCAGCCTTTAATGTCAGTTTTGGTTTTGTACTGTTAAAATATGTTAGCTTGATGAGTTTTAACATAAAACAAACTGTGCATCTCATTTATTATTTTTTCACCAACTAAAGTGCAGTTTCTTCATCAGTCATGTMAAACATAAAAAAGGTACATGTGACATTTTGCCTAACACTCCTAATTTTCATTGCCTGTGCTTTATTTTGTTTTTGTTAAATTTATCTTTTGGGTGTTTTGTTTTATGCCAACTTAATTTATTATTTTGTAATCATTTGCTTTTTAAGATAAAAAATCTCAGGAAGAAAAAAAACAGTGTTTGACAACTTTGCCATTTTTTTAACCTCAAGTTTTGCAGCGTAGAAATTTTCCTCCACATGTAAGTGGGTCTAGAATGGGTTTAAATCAGCATCTGATCAATAGAAACACAGGCGTCCAATCATTGTGTGACCAAAATAAATGTCCTCTTGTCATCGCAGCTGGTGTGTCTGCTTAAAAAATTAWATCACAACCATTTGTTCAAAAATGTGCACCTGTTCTTCTCACACAGTTTGGATGCTTGATTGACAGGGTTGGTGGGCACAGTTCTGCTAATCTGCTCTTTTAGCGCATTAGCTTCTATTTTTTTGTTGTTGCTATATTTGGAAACCCTTAGCCAAACAATTTGCTTCCGCTAATTTTAAATCTAAATAATTCACAAATATAAAACTTCCATTTTTATGCCATTTATCCCAAATTAAATAAAAACTATCCCCTATCACAAGCAGTACAGGACATGTCAGGCAAGTGTTTTTATTCTGATTATTCAAATTTGTCTTAGCGGTTA